GTGTGTGTGTGTGTGTGTGTGTGTGTGTGTGTGTGTGTGGGATTTGCTTTAGCCAGCGGGCTCCCCGCCCAAGGAGCGCCCCCCCCTGTGGCTCCCCAATCTGCTAATGTACAGACCACACCTAGTGAGTCCCTGTACCAGACAGAGGGCCAGTCCGGCCCAGCAGTGGTGCGGTTGGCTGATCCAGTCCAAAGCTCTGCTTACCCAACAGCAATCCAACCTGTGGCTCATCAGGGTAAGAGTTAGCCTGGGCCTACACGCCTGCGTACTGATCCTTCCAGCAGTCTGGATTATTAAGTGTTTATCTGCCTGTCCTAGCAGCTCCTTCTAAGGTAGAGAGCTGCTATACCACAGCCAAGAAGGAAGAGAGAGTGCCCCCTGCTCCCCAGGAGGAGAAACGACGATCAGCCGGCCAGAATCCCCAGCCATCTCCAAAACTGGACGAGGAGGATAACAGCTATGATTCAGATGAAGCCAGTAGGCAGAATCCTAAACCTTTGTCCTATGAAATGCATCTTGATCGACCTGTTTGTGTCCAGTGTACGGTGTGTTTGTATGACTGTTAATCTACACTCTGCTTCCGGATATTGATCCATTGCTACAGCAACCTTGTGTATTCCGCTGGTAATGTATCTTAGGTCTGTCTCACATTGCCTACCATGTTTCAGGCTCTGTCTTCAGTGTGTTAGTTGTATGAATTATTACTGCAGTCAGTCTGAGTTCCTCTTCGGCCATCTGAATCAGTCAGGCACTCGCCATAGACTCATAGCCTGCTGTCCTCTCGCCAGCTACTCTGGGCTCCTTGGACTTCAGCCTGCTCTATGAACAGAGCAACAACTGTCTGCAGTGCAGCATCATCAAAGCCAAGGTGAGACCCTGCCTTCCCACCCTGCAGTCAACAGGGAGTGTCCAGAGGAAGGGCCAAGGCTGCTTTGGGAGCCCGGGGATGTGGTGCACATGCAGGGCCACAGTCACCTGAGGGCTTTTCCCCATATGTGGTGCACTGGGCTCTCCAGCCGCCTAGTTTGGATTGACATTGAAAATTCTCCCTCTCTGTGCTCCAGGGTTTAAAACCAATGGATTCCAACGGCCTGGCCGACCCGTATGTCAAGCTGCACCTGTTACCGGGGGCCAGCAAGGTAATGTCTGTGAAGCCGTAGAGTGTGTGGCTCAGGCAGGAAGAATTGTGGGAACTCGGAAAGAAGAGCCGGGTGCGTCGGAGAAATATAACACTGCGACTATTGTCTGTGTTCTGTCCGTTTTGGTCAGCAGCGATCCTGTGAGGAGCCCCATGACAAACAACTGACACACATACATACCTTATTTTACCAACCAACTCTGAGATTGCAAGGCTGCTCTCTTCGTCGTATCTTGATAATTAATTTCTCCTTTTTTCTTTCCCACTGCAACCCGCCACTGCCATCAGTCCAATAAACTCCGTACCAAGACCCTTCGAAACACGCGCAATCCAGTGTGGAATGAAATGCTGGTGTACCACGGCCTTACAGATGAGGACATGCAGAGAAAGACCCTCAGGTAGGGGCCACTGGTCCGCATTAATAAGAGCGTGACACTCTAGTGTAAGGACCATTAATTCAAGGACCGTCAGGTGAGATTATCAAGCCTGATTCTCCAGAGAAGATCACAAGGAATTATAATATGACACATCTTGGCTTTATTTTACAGTCTGATGAGAAATACGTTTTTTTGGGTTTTTTTTACATCAGATCCTTCTCTTCCTCTTCATTCACAAAACGTGTCTGTCCCAGTCCTGAGGAATGCAAACCAGACCACCAGTGTGGCAATCAGCAGGATAGGGCTCACTGCCATAGTCTGGGCTGTCACTCCTCAGCTGGGGCTTGGTAGCTCGCATAGGTTCTGCTCTGCTCTCTCTCCTCATGGAGTTCAGTCATTTTAAATCATAAAGGGATTTATAATGTATAAGATTTGCTTGCTATATTAAATATACTCCCAAAATCTGTTATCCTGAACCTAACCATGACTCGGCAGCTTGAAGGCCGGGACACTGAGCTCAAGCTTCTGCCCATTTGCTGAGCGAGGATGGCTATAGCTAACAAGCCACTGCAGTCTATGTACTTTATATCATCCCACACTTTGCAGACAGTCCCTGGATTAATAACGTCCAACTCACAGGCACGTCATACTTACAAACTGACAAACCGAGCCTATTATATTAAAAATGCGGGTTTAATGCAATGGTTCGTAATAATAAACGCACATATTACTTTGTGAAGCTTCAGCGGTTCGCCAGCTCAAAGTATAGTACAGTACTATGCATAGTTAGATTTATTGTTACTGTATAATAATAATGTACTGCTTTCTGACTTACCTACAAAGACAGACTTAGGAAACAGATCTCGTTCATAACCTCGATCTGTTTTCATTATCTATTTTGTAGTCGTTTTATTTTTACTCGTTGTTATTAAAATGAAATATATTAAATATTAAGCCCAGCAGCGAGGGGCCGCTGTCCATGCAGTGACGGCTACATGTGGCGCAAACGAAACGTGTCTTGTTGTGAATTCCGCGGGGCAGGCTGTCTGTGTGCGATGAGGACAAGTTCGGCCATAATGAGTTCATCGGGGAGACGCGTGTGCCCCTGAAGAAGCTGAAGGCCAACCAGAGGAAGAGCTTCAACGTCTGCCTAGAGAAGGTGGTCCCGGTGAGCCCCTGTCCCTACTGTCACACCGGTGCACATGGAGAGTGAAATAGCAAGTCTTTGCCTGCATAATTACAATTTTATATTGGAACGTTACAGTAGCACAGTCCGTTTACTTGTGGGTGTGACACTCCAGCATAGTTTCTCTGCTTTAAGCAGGACATTTTTTTCTGGTTCAGTAGGCTGGTCCAGTTCAGGTACTGGGGAGTATGACTCACTTTGTCGCGATGACTCAGTGCATAAGAAAGATTTGATTGGTTTTATGGACTGACATGAATCCACTTTTCACGACGACCGTAACTCCGCCCCCTGCCACAGCTGAGACGAGCAGGGACGGCCGGTTCGGCGCGTGGCATGGCACTCTATGAGGAAGAGGTAAGAGGGCCTTCCCAGTATACCTGCACCTCCAGTCTTCCCACATGTTTAAGCTGCTTTAATCTCCTAAGGTGTGTCTCTACAACCCGCCCTTGGGTTTAACGTGCGCCGTCTGTGCAACATGGGTTTGAGTTTTACCCACATCCAACGTGTCCTTCTCTTTGGCTGCTTTGACCTGTTGACACGCCAAGGTTGGTCACAGCACTCTGATGCACACATGCTTGTGGTTTTGTCCCACGTTGGGTCTTAGGTGAAGGAGACAGCAGAAGCAGAGGAGAGGGGACGCATCCTGGTCTCCCTCATGTACAACAGCCAGCAGAGCCGGCTCTTCGTGGGCATAGTCCGCTGTGTCCACTTGGCTGCCATGGATTCCAACGGCTACTCTGACCCTTTCGTGAAAATGTAGGCCACCATTAGTGGGCATATGATCTCGTGAAGTGACGTCACTCAGACGCCACATGTTCACTGGAACTTCTAAGTTTCCTCAGTCGAGATTCAGCACTATGCCAACCTCTTCCCTTTGATCATTCATCGATATAAAACCTTGTTTACTTCTTGTGCAACAGCTGTCTGAAACCAGACATGGGCAAGAAGGCAAAGAACAAGACGCAGGTGAAGAAGAAGACCCTGAATCCAGAGTTCAACGAGGTGAGTCTGGACTTTGTGGGGAGACCAGAGGACAGGATCGGAAGGGACTGGACTGGATCACTGTTTGGCCCACGGTGTATGTCACCCCGTGTCTGTGAAGTACAACAGTGGTACCATGAATCAAAGAGAATCACCAGCAGTTTTCTGTGAGTTTTTGCTGAACGAGATGCCAATGGATGTGTTTGTCACAGTTTGGTGTTGTGTGGCAGGAATTCAGCTATGAGATTAAGCATAGCGACCTCGCCAAAAAGACCCTGGACATCTCTGTGTGGGATTACGACCTTGGCAAATCCAATGATTACATTGGTGAGATTGGACGCCGTGAGTCAGGTGACCCATTTTATCTGATAATTCAGCACTAACCAGATCCACCATGTCTTTCACGGATTCTGCACTGTCCTCCACAGGAAGCTGCCAGCTGGGCATCACGACCAAAGGGGAACGTCTGAAACACTGGTATGAATGCTTGAAGAACAAGGACCAGAAAATCGAGCGCTGGCACGCTCTGCTCAACGAGAACCACGTCTCCAGTGACTAGGATGCACCCTGCCTCCTCCCTCCTGCACGTTGTCCATCAATGTATATTCCTCTGGGTCCTTGTCTTCCAAACCAGTTCACTAGCTGTCGTCTCTTCATCTGCCTGATCTTAGAGCCGTCCTATCTCCGGGCTCAGGCACCCGCCTTCCTCACCTCAGCATTAATATGCCTGCTCAAGTGAACAATCCACCTATTAGTCTATAATAAATCGATCCTACAGCTTTGTCCCTTGTTACAGGCAGGATTTTCTATGTAGCCGTCAACTGCCAACTTAGAAAGTCTGCAGGTTAACTTATCTCTCAAATCATTGGTTTCTCAAGCTTGTAAATTCTTATGAAAACCCAAATTGAATAATATAATGTTGTGAAATATTTACTTTTTTAAGCAATAGTAATGTTGTGGGACATGTACCCTTCTACTGGATAAGTGGGTGGATCGACGGATGGATGGATGAATGCATGTATGCATGATCCAGTTACATGTACATAATGTATGTATGTTTTGGTGTGCAGCAAGGACTCGGGTGTCTTGATACCAGTTTCTTATGATATTGATCAAACTGGGCCTTTACATAGCATGCTGACTTGGGGGAAAATTCTTTCTTCTAAAGTGTCTGAGCTGTGTGTCGGGCCGCGTTGTTAAATGGCATCGTCAGTGTACTGTAGCTTTGTTCCCACTCTCAGCCTTTCTCCCCTCCAGCTTTAACTCTTCGCTGAGCTGCACACTGTCACTTCACCTTAGCAAGAGTCTCAAATAACTACCAGAGGCTTAGAGATGGCAGTTAAGAATGTGCGCATGGGCTGCAGCTCTGGCTTTAGTTATATATCAGCTATTTGGAGAGTAACAGTGTGTATCTGGATGAAGAAAGGTGAATGTTTGCACAGCACTCCAACGGCTTGGTTCACATGCTGCTCTGAATAGATGCTTTACGCGTACGTCACATGCAGACACATTGAACAGGAGGTTGGCATACTCAGTCAAGAACCAGTCTTTGATCCCCGGTTGATCTTTGCCATCTCCTAATATAATATAGTACGATTAAAAGTTCAAGAGAATGGTCAGTGAATCCTTACTTTGGAGCACATACATATACGTATAATTTATTGTCAAATTTATTTTTAAATGTTTCTTTCCACCAAATACTAATACTTTTCTGGGTTTGTGTTTGGCTTGATGTGAATTGGCGTTAGATTGTTTCGGTGGCTGTAGTAAATTTCAACGCTGTTATTTCGGTTATCACAGTTTGTTGGGCTGTTGGATTTATGTTTCTGTAGTAAGTAAAATGCGAATCTGTTAACAAACGTATATTGTAAGGGGTACGACGCCAAATGGTCCGTCATGTGTCACAATACGCACGTAACTCCTAGTTTGCAATGGTTGTAACTTCTGTTCACTGCGCTTTAAATGATGAACCGTGCAGTGGTGTTGACTGGGATTTTGTTTCCATCTTGCATAATTCATGTAGATAACCTGGATTTTTTCCTGTAAATAGACTGCTTTTAATTATTATTTTATTTTTGCTGTGGTAACATTTGCAAATGAGAATAAATAGTTGAAACCATGAAAACAACATGATCCATCTTTACTGGTCAAAAATAAAATCGCAGAAGAAAAAAATCATCCAGAAAATTAAAAATACGGACCTACAAATGGTAACAACAAGCCGTCTATAGCTGTCTTAGTGAATGTGTATAACATGGGAGACCTCTACAGTTAATGTTTAATGTAATGATTTTCTCTTTGCCGTATTAGTTCAAATAAAGACTGTCTAATTCCATACATGCATGTACTGGGCGTGAGAAAGCCCGCGTATTTTCAACAAACTGCACGTGACAATTTCCCTCCTTGTTACAAACTAATAAATTAACTCACTGGAAAAATTAGCGTGGGAACTTGTTTTCGTGTCTAATGCCTAGATGTAGCGCAATATCCATCATAAACTGTAATTTAAATAAATACTTTAATGATTGTAAGCGGGCGTTTGAGAGTTTACACGTGTTGTCATATCGAATGTGAAGATGACCGAGCTTCTTAAAAAGCAATAGAAAATCGGACCAAGACTTCATGGTTTAAGTTGCCCACGTGACTCTTGTGCAGCGCAAGTGACATGGCAGGAACCTTTGAGATCCTCACGCCACTGGCACGACAGTCACTTCAAGCAGACACGCCACAAGCTGCAAGATGAACTTTGTATCTTTTAGTTAAAAACACAAATTTTCACCTCCGTTCAATTCCCTCAGTTAAAAAGCTGTCAGTGAAATGGAAACCTGAACTTGAACTGAACTACTCAATGACTGACGATTTTGCAAAAATACAGTAAAAGCACCGTAAATAATTGCTGGATGGGAGTCGTTTAAAATTATATGTAGCCTAGCAGCATTAATCAAAAGAATTAAAATTCCAGATGGAAAATTAAATTTAATTATTCACAGAGATTATAAACACATCGGTCCATTTTTTTATTTTTTTTGAATTTGCGGAGCGCCAAAAATCGAATAATTAGTTCCTCCTGGAATTTGTCAGTCTTGTTGTCAAATTCTTAAGAAACATCATCATGCCCAGTATTATTGATGAGACGTGGTGTTTATCTTTTAGTAACGCGTCAGCAACAAAGTGCAACAGATTTCCGACTACCTGAAAGACCTCTAACTGACTACTTGCGTTTTATACTACAGCGCTTATCTTTTTACGATGGATATAGATATGTTCACACAGGGATAGCGGTGTGTTTTGTTTATAGCTCCAAACGTTATACTATAGGCTGTAAAACAGCACTCTCCTCTCCACTCGAGAAAGGGTGTGTCCGTGTCGGCAGACTCTCCTCCAATAGCAAGGAGAGGAGCGCTGCGGATTTGAGGTAAGAACATCACCTCATACCGGGAATGGGTGGCGATTGACTCGCCCAGCATCCGCTTACCCAAATCACAGGTCGGACCTCCCAGCTTTCTCTTGTTCAAATTATCCCAGCTGAACTTGATACTGGCCCCGATGCCAGGAAATCCCCTGCCTTAAAAGCAGATTCGTTTTCGTCTGTCTCCAGAAGCCTACAGGGTGAATTTGGTTATACTTGTCTAGGTTTTGCAGTTAGGCTACGGGTTTCCTTAATGATAGTGGCACCACATTTATATGAATGAAGCGACTGAGTTGGAATCACGTGTTGTTTTAATGTTAACGTCATTAATTATCGGCGTTTTTATTATTTGCATTTACTTTAAATCTGTGAAAAGCTGACACGGCAGTTACTCTGCGTCTCTGCAAAGTTTAGCTCTTTTCTACTTGAAGGATTTCTGCATTCTGTAAGCCGACTGTCAAAATGCGAGACGGGAGCCACGTTCGTCTGTCCTTCTTTCTGGCACTGGCCGGCTTTTCATTAGCGGACAACGTGCGGTTTTGGTCCGAAGGTGTCCTAGACGGCGCTGGCTTTTGTTACTGGACAAGGGCATCAGCGTCCGGGCGCATCTACCTCAACTTCCTACAGACCCCTCTGTCTCTTCGACTCTTTCACACCACGTGGACCGAGGATCTGCGACTTGTGGACTGCGCGGTGACCGAGCAGCCGAAAGTAACGAAGGGCTATCTGTCTCTGTGCTTGGGAGAACCCACGGGTAGTTTCTCGCATGTTCCGGACCTACGTCTAAACGTCAGTAGTGTTTTCGCACCAGATAGCCCGTGTGTAACCCAGCACGAAGCGAAATACCGAGCATCTGGTCGGGACAGACGGGACTTGCTGTTTGATACATCGCTCCGGCGGCAGAAGCGGTCTTGGATCTTTCCCGGGACGTTGTGGTGCGGGACGGGGAATAAAGCGAACAACTATGAAGACTTGGGTATGTAACGAAAATGTGTTTCATATTGGTTTTGAAGTTTTTGACAGACTGGTGGTGACTCTTCGGCCTGACTGCGGATCGCTTCCCCTTGCACCTGCTGCAGGTGTGTTTGAACGGACGGACAGATGCTGCAGGGAACACGATCACTGCCAGCACACCATCCCCTCTTTCACGACCGACTATGGCCTGTTCAACTCGAACTTCTACACCATCTCGCACTGCGAATGTGACCGCAGGTGAACAGTTTTTCCTGGTATAGATATGGCTTCGCCTTCTGGGGGAATACTCTGGAAGAATGCAGTGTTTACAGGTGTGTGTGGGTTGGGGGGGAGGTGGTCGTCGCCCACCAGTCAGACATGCGAGTGCATGATTGTTCAGTCGCGTCATTTAATCCCAGTGCTTCTTCATTCATTTTTGTTACAGTTGCGTTCTCGATTAACCTTGATTGCGATGTTGATTGGATTGATTCACTATTTAAATCCCCATAACGCCGAAAATTGCGGACTCGTTTTCATGTTTATTTCATTTTCTCATTGGTTCTCAGTCCCTTGCGCAATCAGCGGCTTGATTTGAGTCGTTATTGATTTTGAATTTGTTTCACAATTGGTCAGATAATGAGAACGAGAATATTCAACCGCATCTCATTCCCTTAACTATTAGATCACCCACTGGAAAAACCTAAATCAGCCTGTAGTATTTGTTTGTCTGAACTGAAAAATTAGAAGTCTGATTACAAGTTAGATTTAAAATAGGAAACAATTTTCAGTCTTCACTTAAATCGCCTATCCTCAACTATGCTTCAACTTTAGTTTTAATAAAGCACTTTTTTTTCCATTTAACTAAGAGCTAAATTTTTATCAATAAGGTCTTGACTGGAAAATTATCCATATTTATACTGCTGAATGCTTACTGGTGTAACACAATTCAGTTTAACTGCAGGACTCCTTTTGTAGGTTGCAGATGAATTTTGTAAACCGTGCATCCCCTGCAGACTCAATAAGGAATGGACAGGTTCTGACCATTTATTTTGCCCCTGCCATTTCAGATTCCAACAGTGTCTTCTGGAAGTGAACAATACCATCTCCAACATGGTGGGCTACACCTTCTTCAGCGCCTTGAAGGTCCCTTGCTTTGTGCTTAAGCAACGAATGCAGTGCGTACAGATGAACTGGTGGGACATGTAAGTCCCGTTTCAGTGTGCAGAATCTTCCCCCGATGGAAATCGAAATCACAAGTACCTGAGTTATGACTGACAGGCTGCTCCACTTAACTGGAAAGACGAATGAGACGAGACCCAAACTATGGGGAGATTCTATTATGGCCAATGGTAAAGCAGCAGGTGGGGGGGGGGGCAGCAGCTGTTGAAATCGGCCGCATCTTGTGCCTGCATGGACTTGTCACTTTTCTCACGCCCCACTGGGGATCTCACTTTACCTCAATCCAGGTTTCCTGTGAAGTGAGCACCACACAGCGTTAAGGGGGGGGGGTGCAGGACGCAGGAGCAGGGGTGGGCGTGGTGTCCTGCACTGCGTGCCCAGGCAGATCTCACAGCGTCGGCTGGGAACCTGCTTTTCAATGCTAGCTTAGACGCACGGCGTCAAGTTGAGGAAGTGCTTCCTATCTTGAAGAACAAAGGCTCCCATTTCCAGGTGTCGGGACGTATTGATTTTATGAAATGCTGTTTTGACAGGCATACTGAAAGACACCCCCAGCAGGATTTGGGTGTACTGCAAAGAGGCCTTGCCTCAGGTGTACGCTGCAGATTTTTAAATTTTTATTTTTTTATTCTCCCCATTCCAGCAGGTGTAACATGTCCCTGGTGACTCTGGCGGTACTTAGAAATGCTACGAAGTACAACTCCACTCACCCTGTCCTGGAAACCGAGTACCATCTGCCCACGGAAATTCCTGGTAACCGAAGCACACCGGAAGTCCCGGAGACGACGATGACGACCCTGCCAAGTGTGACTGGCCCCGAGCGATTCGGTGCTCCAACCAGTGGGCATCTTCCCAGATCGCATACGCCCTGCCGAGCCCAGCTTCACCTGCCTGAGAAGGGGAGCGGGCTCCAGCAAAAAGCATGCACAGAATCTGCATCCGTCTCTATGATGCCGAGGACTTCCCATACCCCCACTGGGGGCCCCCACCCAGCAAACTGGGACCAGTCCGATGACCTAGAGAATACACTGCTGGCTGTGACTACTGTGGCCCCAAGCATGAACCCCAGTAATCAACTCCTGCCTGTGTTGGACACCCAGCAAAGAGGTGTGTGTGTGTGTGTGTGTGTGTGTACTGCCTGGAGAAAGTGATTTTTATGAGGCATAAAATCTGATGAATCAAAGATGTTTCTTGTGTCCCTTATAAATTACCCTACATCCCTAATGCCTGAAGAAATGAGCTTCTATCTGTTGTCCTTAATTTCTTACACTCTGGTGTAGATATTCTATGCGTCAGCGGCTCCTCAGGATGAAGTATTGAAGGTCGCGGGGGAGCAGAAATGTACCTGCGCTCGCTTTAAATGACCTCTTTCTAGCTTGTAAATTATTCCTCCACAAGTTGGTCGTCTGAATCGTTGCGTATAATGCCGAATGATGGCGTTTGAATGATTATATTGTGGCAGGCGGCCGCATCTTTTGGGATTATGCACCGTCCTTGTGCTTTGTTATTAATAGATGGTACCCCAGATGCGGAATGTCAGTTACCTTCTTTTTTTCCATCCCCCGTCGCAGATAAGCAGCTCTGCCTCTGTTACAAGCACCTCGATGAGTGTGCGTACAAGATTCCCCCAGGGGTGGAGAGATTTGGCCTGTGGAACCTGGAGCCCAGGACCATGTACCACTGCTCCTGCACTAGGAGGTGAGGCCAGCACGTTTCCATGGCGCGTGCCCGTGATTGGTCATTTGTGGAGAGGTGTCATATGCCGGAGTGAGTGTGGATGCCGTCCCATTCGCTGCATGTGTTTAAACCCCTCCCTCCAGCTTGGCCCGGACACTCCGGCAGAAGCAGGAGCCCAATGCGGTGCAGACCCTGCTGCTCAAGTTCATCTCTCAGTCCTGCTTCAGAATGCAACATGCCAGGGACTGCCCCACAGGGCCATGGTCAGTGAAGGGTCTTGGGACCGTCGAAAAGGGGGTCGCAGGGAAACTGTTTGTCCGTCCCTCACTCTTGAGATCCACTGGAAGACCTTTTTAAAATATGGATTAAAATTTTGATTTGACAGGAAGGGTGTTGGCAAGGTCACACCCCCAGATATGACATCATGAAGCCCCTACTATGCCTTTTAAAGAGCATTAGGACATGATTGAGCAGCATGTATAGTATGAGACAAGCAAATGCATAATGTCCTCTAGAGGACGAAAATAAATTACTTGATGCTCTCAACTGGAGCTTTAGTGTGGCTGTAAGCAGCCATCTGCTGGCCAAACTGGGATGTGTGTGCGTTCATGTCAGACCATGAGGAGCTAAAGGTATCTGTGGTTCCACAGGTGTTCTGCCTACTTCTCTGAAGCCCCTCCCATCATCCGTGCCCTGAGACGGAAGGGTGCGTCCAAGGCCCGAAGATTCCTGGAGGTACCCAGCACCAAGGTGAAGCGGCAGGACTCGAGGCCGGTGAAGAGACGCGCTCCTGTCAGACTATATCAGAGGTGCCTGACACTAGTCCGCTCCATGCCACCTAGTGTTGGTTCCTGGAGTCCTGTTTGACCCCCCCCCGACATAACAGCTTGGGGTCTTGGAGTACTTTGCCCGACCTTAACATGGCTATTCAGAAGCAGGAACTGAAAAGTGTCTGTGTAGTGGATGTTCACCAGAAGGTTGCAGGTTTGAATCCTGGGATGGGTGCTGCTGTTTGAATTGCTTTAGCAATATCTGCCCCTAAAGAATTACAATTAATAGTTTTAACCTTGTCTGTGGTTTTGGATAAAAAAGCACTCTAGAAAAAAAGTACTGTAATATACCTGCAGCACTAAGGCTGTGTTCTTAGCCCTACAGCACAGCTTAACTCGTGGCTGTGTTCATGACCTTGTCAAACAGATCATGTGATCTAAACTGGAACTTTGTGGGGGTTTTTTTCCCCCTCTGTGGTCCAAGGTGTATGTGGTTTACATTTTGAACAATTAAATTCTGGGTAAATATGTAATAGGTGGCTCTTTCTGACAGAATCCTCTAAAGATGTTTTGATGTTGAAGAATTATGCAAGGTCAGTATGCCACAATGGGGCATTTACAGACTTAACTCTCCATATTGTAAACGTTTGTCTTGAAGAAACATCTCATGAACATATTAAATATGTAGAAACATTTTTAAATTATCAGTAATAACCCTTGTACTTCATCTGCACCCTAAATAATCGGCATAAAAGATCAATGAGATGCATGTTTCCCCCGTTCTGCCCTACTTTTTGGCCCTAAATTGAGAGGCCGCAGTGACAACGATTTGGCAGCAGAGGGCAACAATTAGTTCCCATAAATTTAGGGGAGCAGTTGGTAAACTACAGCGTTGTTGCTGTTTTGTTTATAACCTGAGAGATTCGTAAAATAAACATTATGGAACAGGAAGGCGTGGGCATATTGGCGTCTTTCTTCCGGTAGCGCTAAATGTCGTAGTACAAGACAGCCAATCTTATTTCTCTGTGCGTTTAATGTAGTTATGAATCTTTGACCTTTATATCTGTGTCCATGTGTATTTATATTGCTTGTTTGTACTTTGATAAATAATAAATACAATTTCCACTTGCATTTGTGCATTTTCTTTAAAGTCCAATCGTTTAACATCGAATCGGAAACGAACCATCTTAGCCTGTGAACCACTTTAAAGAATCCTTTTGAAGAAGCAGTTACTATTGTAAATATGCATATTTCATATGCAAGCATTTTAATATTCTTAATTTCGTTTCACTGCAAAAATTATATGCCTCAGGAAACATTTTCGCCGGTCAGTTTTCTGCCCTAACTAATATTTAAACGGCAGCGCGTCGACTTTCGTCATTTCGTTGTTCACATAATTAATAACGATGATTAGCGTAGTCGAGTTGATATCGTGCATGGGGTTTTTTTTTTTTTTTTTTTTTTTTTAAATGTGCCTTTGTATTGTAATTATAAGCATACAGATAGAGTGCGGAATATTCGGTGTGGCCACTAGGTCGCGCTACAGTATCATGTGTTTTGCGGTATCTCAGTTCATCGGAAGAGTCGGTTCGTCTGCAGTCACATAAACCAAATGCGTCTTGGGAAAAAGGCGTCGTTACACACCTGACTGCCATAAGTTACACCAACCTCTGTGAAAATAGCTGAATGGTCATTGTGCTATTACAGTCTAAATGCAATGAAGTTTCTGGACCTCTAATCATCCGACACATTAGCTTGACCTTCGTTTTTACGTTTAAAATGAATTCTCTCGTTGCCTTAAGTTAAATAAATTGCAGCTTGCTTTATATGGAAGCCATTCCGTTCACAGGAATTTTTAAATTTGTGTCGTACTCATTGCTTTTTACTGCCGTGCTGCTTGAGGCCTCGTTTATTCACGACATAGAATTATTCATAATCACAAGTAGCCTAATCGTAGCAACGGGGCCGAGATTCAGCTCAATCAGCGTCTTACCTCGTAACCACCCCTTTGTTCAGCGTCTTACCCAACCACCACTTTTTGTTGAGCAAAAATACAGCAGAAGTCTTAAAGCTGATTTATCCATTGTGGTCGTTTTCACGTCATTATCTTGCTCGGGATGCCAGTGATTAACATTGCATCAAGTCCTGTAATAAGCTACGGAAAGTTTCACATGGGAGCTGTCAAAAGGTCCAAAAGAATACAAAGATACATTTTGGCTAATTAAATACGTATTTCCGTAGAATGTATTGACATGAATGCCTGGTGGACTCTAAATAATTCAAAGAATAATTTATTAACCATAATGCTTACATTCCAATAGTAATAGGGCTATTGTAAGTAGAATATTTACATACACTTTTTCTTGAAAATACAGTATATCTTTCACAAATACACACACGGTCTACATCCTTCTTGCATCTGTAAGCCAATGCCCAATAAACACGAATGTAAAGGTAACTTAACTCCCAACCCCCCCCCCCCCAATGCTGGGACGCGGCTGAAACTCGGGCTGACACTGCCATACTGCCACAGCCAACTTGCCGGGAGGGGGAAAATCCGCTAGAGCAACCAGAAAAAGAAGCGGAAAAAGGAGGGGGGAGAGATTTGACAACATGGCGCACATTTTCTGGGAAAAGTTTTTCTAGGGCGCCGACAAAGCTGAGATGAAGCGCAGCTCGGCTTTTCGTAGACGGGGGAGCCGGAGCAGGAGCGCGATTTCGGGCCGGACGGTGCGATGGGATGAAAGCTGCTGAATATCAAAGCGCAGGATGGAGACGGGAAAATCTCGCAGCTACAAGGTAAAGGGAGCCGGCCAGGGCAGCGCTGCCGATTCATCCCCAGGCGTGCTCAGCGCAAACATAATTATGCCATTTTCAAGGAAATATAATTTTTTTCGCTTACTGTTCGGCAATAGGATAAGATATGCCAACTTGTTCAGTTAGGCTATCTTTTTTCTTTTAATAATGTTTGAACAATTTTGAGTAAACATAAAGCTTCCTAATTGTCGTGCTTATTAAGGACTGTACGGGAGGCATCACGGGCAATTAGATAAGGACTCCTTAAAATAACATTATTTCAGCGCCACTGCAGCACCTACAGCTGAGCTAGCGCTTAGATGACGATTTCCAACTATAGGCACTTTTAGGATTGAATTTTATTGATGTATTTGCAGAAAAAGAGCTGTAACTTTGTAACATGGGAGTCTAAACATTAGTTGAATTATTTCTAATAAGGCGAAGACCGTGCGCGGTTTTGCATTGTATTTGACTGCCAAGCCGCAGAGCAGGCCTGCCGGAGTACGCTCCCCCCAGGGCGGTGAAGAAGGGCACCCAGCCCCGCACCCGGTGCGTCACCCAATATTCAATAATGCAAATACTCTGTTGTGGGTTGGGGAAACTTCAAGGAGTTCCTCACCTGCGACATTGACGTCAGGACTCGGCAATACACTTAGTACAGGAAAGACGGTATGGCTATAATTCATTAGGTCGCTGTGATCTTGGTTTAATGACATGAAAGCATACCGATGTTTTATTGTTAACTTTTTTTTGTAACCAACGTAGACGTGGCACACATTTAGATGCACAGACATACTGATCGCGGGCGGTCCCAGGAAACTCCGCTGGTTGGCAGCAGGAGCCACGACGTTTTGCGTTAAGTAAACGGGCAACTGTGCAGCACTTCGGAAACTGAGTCCTGGGGGAAGCTATTGCAGGCACAAGTGACAAGTGTTGAAGCCTGTTTGCCTACCTGTGATGGGCTGTGAGAGTTCAGCTGAGTTTGGTCTAGTCAGTCATGGTCAGGGGTGCCGTAAGGTGGGGGGACAATTCCAAGGGTCCCTGAGTGCCTGTGGCCCTAAAAAAATTAGAATTAGAACATAATCCAATTGATCTGGGCTGGGGGCCCAATATAATGTGCTCTCATGGGGCCCAAAATCGTTAGCGGCACCCCTGCTGGTTACACTCCATTCCTGGTGCTCAGGGGCCTCGCCATGTTGTAGCATGTTAGTAAATCTAATTAAATTCAGGAACACAAGTAATAAGGTTTTGTTGCCCTTTGTACCTGCAGATCTCCTCCACAGCCAATAGCTCTACATGCTTTTAAAAGATCTCTCCTTTGGTTCAGGCGACCAGTGCTAATCTGTGTGTGGGGAATGGCCAGCAGGTGGCAGAATAGTTAAGGATTCTTTGTTTAAGGATGTATAGGCTTACCCAGTATTACTGACCAAGTATCTAGTTATATGAACATGAAATGTTATGAAGTATAATATTGTACTTGAGCATGGAGGAAAACCCAAAACCTGATGCCACTTTGGTTATGACACCAGAGGTGAGCGATTATGTCCAGGAGTCAGGGGGACACAGTCGTTGTGGAAATTTGAAGATGGGGCCTGGGTTTGGCCCCTGTCTGGGTGTCCACGCCTTTCCCTGTCTCCTCATGTTAATGAATATCACGCCAGCAGGGTTAGTGCTTATCAAGTTGGCCGTATGAATAGTGATGCTGGAGATTAGGAGACTTTGCTGGGTGGTAGGAGGGTGTGTCCGGCTGCATAGCTGAGCAGAGTGTCAGTGGCAGTGAGGTGCCTTGTTCTCTGTGGTCTCGAGCACTTTCCAGGATAAACGGGGAAATGCCGCAGGACGGACTGAGCCCCCTCCGCCTCTGGAAGCCTGCGCCCCTGAGGTCCTCCTGCAAACCGCTCCTGCAGCTGTTTTCCCGGCCCCTCCCAGAGGCATTTACTAATGGTGGTGTTGAAATTTGGGCTTCTCCAGGCCTCTACTTGTCAGTTTCCGAGGGGGCTCCAGGACGCAGAGAGAGGTTCCTCGGAGGAGCCGCTATTTCGGGAGCTTCCCGTAGGCCGCCGCCCCAGCACGCTGCGTCCGTGGGCATCCAGCTGCTGTTCTGCTTCATTTAATGGCCCCATTTAATTTCTCCTAAATGGACACATGTGTAAACGTTACAGGCAAGGCTTAGCACAGGTTCTTTGTCCTTTGTTGCTACCAAGTGCAAGAATGCGAGGGTAGATTCCTTCTGTTCTCCAGGAATACCTCTGTTGGAGGTCAATCTGCAATAGTTAGCCATTTTGAGCAAAAGCAGGAGTTCCACTTCCTGGATTGGCAGGAAGTGGAGCCTGTGAGAATGCGTTGACCAATCAGGTTACAGGAGCCCTCTAAGGGGGAGACAGAGGGCTGCTCTGAGCTGCTTCCACCTCAAGGAACCTGAGCTGGAAGGTGCACACATGCACCTACCATTTTTTTTAGCCAACTTGGCGATCGTTTACGCTCACCCTCCCCTGGGGTCTGGTTACCATCTGACTAGACCGGGACTTAAGTGGCCAAACCTGAGCTGCCTGTAGCCAACACGTCTCTCCCGGACCATCTGTAAACTGCTAAATGTGGTTTAATCCGTTTAGCTTCCATCAGGTGGTCGCTTAACACCCAGATCCTGCGAGTGAATGCTGGAATAGGCATTTCCCAGCAGAGCTGCAGCCCATGGCTGATGCATTCAGATCGCGAGTTTTCCGGCCGACTTTGACACACCTGCGAGAGCTTTTGGAGATGGTGCTCCTATCTGTAAACACCCCCGAGTGCCGGATAATTTTTTGGTGGGAGCTGTGTAGTGCAGTAGTCGGTTCTGGGATGGTCAGGAGGCCGGGGTGCGGGGGTCGCCTGGACGCGGCTGCTGGCTGTGTTTCTGAGCTTTGGCGGATCCTTTTTGAGAAACGCCAGCGCCGTGCTGTCTTACTGGACCGAGGCACGTCCGGCCCGCTGCCCTGCTATCGCAGATGAGATCATGGCTGGCCGTCTCTCACTGCATGTCCTGCCAGTGGCCCGTCATGGACGCTTCACCCTATTGTGCTCCGATGTGACAATATTTGTGCTTCCTGTGCACAATTATTTATACATTTTTTTTTCTTCCCATACTCTATTGCAAATGTAGCTATAACCATGCTGGAGAAGGTGTAGGGTACAGAATCATACCCAGGATGAAGCAATTGCAGATTAAAGGTCTTGCTCAAGGGCCCAACGGAGTAGGGCAGGGGTCTCCAACTCCGGTCCTGGAGAGCTACTATCCAGTAGGTTTTCTGTCCCGCTTGGCTTCTGATGAGCCACACCTGCTCCTGGTATTTACC